AATTTCCAGACTGATTATGTTACCCAAAAAGACTTCCATAAAAAGATACGATAGATGTGCGCACTCTCTGAAATCATATGTGCAAATGAATGCTCGTTAAGCCCTTCCTCGTTATTTTGCACATATGTAGCCTCAGGGATGATAGTAGTGTGTCACTATCAGAGAGAGGAGGGAAGAAAAGATGGATGCAGAGAGGACAACGTGGAGAAAACGAGAGAGGCAGAGAGGAAGGAGGGAGCTGATTTTGGGGCAGCGAATGAACAGCCACTTTACAAAGCATGTGATTCCTGTCATTGCGAGAGAGAGAGAGAGACGCTTCCAGCCAGATCTCAGTGCTGCTTAGTCTGCTGTCTCGTGCAGAAGCAGCAGAGAAGGTTACGTTGTGAGGTTACGAGTCAGACAGACACGTTTACATTTTAACACAGGAAAAGGACTAAGACACAAAGACACCTAAACCAGGAGCAGAGAAAGGGCAACAGAAGCATGTCCTCTTTCTCAAACCAACAACCGGCATCTCCGTTCTCAGAATATAGTGAGCTATGTAAAGTCCCATCTATGTCCACATCCGCCACCCCTCCGGGTTGGGACTGGCAGCACGGAGACCTCGGGGCACCACCGAGTTTTGGAGGTGGCCTTCGGGCAACGGGAATGATGGACGAGGACAAGCTGTGCTTCTACGAGTCTCCTTCCGAGCTCAACGTCTCCGGGCGAGGAACCGTTCCAACGAGCATGTCGTTCGGCAGCACCGGGGACAGTCCGGAAAGCCTCTCGTCCTCGTCGGCATCAGCTGCGTCTCCTGGAAAATTTGCGGCTTGCACAACGGACAACAATGGCATGATGCTTCTGGAATCACCTGCGGGTCACAAAGAGGTTCTGTCGCCACTCGAACCCTTGAAACCGGCTCCGTTCTCTGGATTGCTTCCGGAACAGAGTCCAAGCACGCCGTCGCCCCGAACGCCTCCAAACTACTGCGTCATTGGCGTGGTCAACGACAGCTACCTGGAGGGCGAAGATGAGCGGCCGAAGGCTGAAGGGTCGTCGCACGAAAGTGAGGACGAGGAAGACTTCGAGCCTTGCTTGATGAGGAGAGCCGAACAACAGAGGAAGGCGATGAGGCGAGCGATGTCTGAGTGTTCGCACCTCTCCGTACCTGCCAGTCTCGAGCTCCCGGATAAGTATCCCGGCAGAGACATTCTCGACAAGTTGCCATCACCCATTGGAGGACCTCGTCGCCAGCACGCAGGGGCCATAAAACGCTCTCTAACTGTAGCCGACGATCAACCTCCGACCCCGCCGCCAACCCTGTCGGCTGGAGCCACCCGCAACGACCTACGGAACAATATCGAACTACATTTCCCCCCTTCCCCCGCACGCAAAGACCAAAGCAGCTTTCCCCTCTCGCCCGTGGAGGACCTATTGGAGGGACCGTTCATTGACAAGGACCAAGGAGTCGTTCTACCTGTGCCGGTGACAACACGTGCCCTTAATGGGACTTGCAACAACGCTGGAGACAAAACCGACACGTTTGCTGAGGCATTTGAGGGTAGGTGATGGCGAAGCAAGAGTTAATTTTGAGGTGTAGGACCGACTCTTTTACATCTGAGAGAATGTGAGCAATGTGAATGAGAGAAGCGTAGCATAATCGTTCTTAGAAACAAAGAAATTAAGCTTGGGAAAGCATGTTTCAATGTATTTCCAATGGGGTTTTGCAGTGATGCCATAGAAGAACCATTTTGGGCTCCCCCAATAACTTTTAGTGAAGAGTTATTAAAAGAACCATTTTTTTTCTTACAATTATTGGTTCTTTATTGGCATCTATGTTTCCATGAAGAACTATTAACATGCATGAATGTTCTTCACACTAAAAAAATAAAAGGTTGATTTGGAATCTAATGGAACATATTTCCAGTATAAAGAAACTTTTATGCCATGGTTCCAAGATTCTGCATGGAACCATGGATGTCAATAAAGACCCTTTATTTTTAAGAGTGTATGTGTGTATAAAATTGGATTTATTGAGTCAATGTGATGAGACATCAAGAGAAGCACGGTATAATCGTTCTTAGAAACAAGGAAATTAATGTTTGGAAAGCATGTGCCAGTGTATTGCATTGGGCAGTGATGCCATAGAAGAACCATTTTGGGTTACCCAAAGAACCTTTAATGAACAGTTCTTAAAAAAAAACAATTTTCTTATAGTTAAAAAAAATAAAGGTTCTTTATTGGCGTCTGTGATTCCATGAAGAACATCCTTCACACTAATAAAAAAATGATTATTTTGGAATAAAATGTAACCTTTTTCCAGTATGAAGAATCTGTTGTGTATTGATGTTAAAGGTTCTTCATGGAACCATGAATGCCAATAAGAAACCTTTATTTTTAAGAGTGCATAAGTGTATATAATTGGGTTTATTGAGTCAATATGATGAGACATGAGTCCTAGACTGGGACTGCGTCTTTCTGATGTGTAGCGGTGGCAGAAGTAGGTGATGCATGTAGTGTCTCTGTTCTGTGTGTACGGCATTATCACGCCACTGCCGAACGCATGCTCATTACCCGCTCCAGACGAGCCGCGGATAGCGTAAGTCATTTCTGACCTGATTTCCTAGAATAAAACCTGCCCCTCTGCAAATCGAGGTCAGAAACTCCTCAACGATGATGGGTAGAGCTCCAGAAATCTCCTGCTGCACCTACAACGGTTAACGATTATGAGTTTTGTTTTTTGTTTAAATAATAATTCACAGGAGGGGCGTGTAAATAGTCTGGTTTAATCCCTCAGTTGTCCTCTGGCTGGTTGGCAGATGGTGAAAATGCATTGTAGTGAATGTCTGAATGAAACATGTTTCTTGCCTCAAGGGGAAGCAAACAAAAGATTTTTTTTTTTTTTTAGTTTTTTAGTTAGATTTCGCTGGTGAAATGTCTTTGATAAATGGAAAAACAGGTGCAGATGATATAAAGTGCGGACAAGTGCTAATGATGGTGAGTCATGGATGGATGCTTGTTGCACACTAGTTTTCTCTGTGAGTTGCAGTTATTAATGCATGATGTTTGTGATTTCTTGTATTGGGGTAGAATTGGAGTCTGGATAGTTTTTAATAAAATGGGAGTGTCTGGAGGTCGGGTTACTGAAGGTCATGTGATCTGCATGCATGATAAATCACATTGAATACACAAGACTGTCTGTTTTGTGGCTGTCTTCACATTTATAGACTGATTTTCTTCATTTTGAGCAGGTGTTGTTCTGCATTTCTTGCTGACATACAGCAGTTTCTCATCTGCTTTGATGCGTCACTGTGAAACTGGTGTCTTTGTTATTATAAATGCACCTGAGCCTTGTTGAAATTGATCAGCTTAATGCAAGAGTTCTTAGCCGACTCTACGCATAGGTATTTCTTACAAAGAAACCGCTCTGTGGTGACAGATTCATTTTAATACAAGATGCAGTATTTCTGCACGCTGGGAAGCAGCTTACATGTGCAAAAGAAAAAATGCTGCTGGAATATCAATGATGGCTGATTTTATTAATTTCATGCTCACTAGATTGAATCTCCAGTGTGAAATAAATATGCAAATAGGCTCCTTTCTAAAGCAGTCTCTTGAAAAGTTAAATATGTTTATGAGAGAAGCAGATTCTTTGCAGAGAGCTTACAGGGCGACGAATTAAAGGGTTTATGGAAGCAGATTTACCGCTTACACTTTACAATAAGGTCACTGACATGCATTAACTAACTAAAATGAACAATAATTAATTAATAAAAGTACAGCTGTTCATTTTTAGTTCATGTTCAGATCTATTAAATAATATGAATAGGTGCATCTTTTGATTTAAAAAATGCATTAGTAAATATTAAAATTGACATTAACTACAATTTTAACGAATGCTTTCAAACTATTTTTCATTAGTTCATGTTAACTAATGTAGTTAACTAATATTAATGAATGAAATCTTATTAGAAAAGTTTAACATTGACATTTTGCTGTTAAATTTAGTAGCATGTGTCCGATGCGATTAGAAAAGTATTTTCATTATAAAACGGACAGATATAATGACACGAGTGCAGATTAAAACATCTAATGATGTAAGGTAAATGCTTGTGGTTTCTCTGAAAAACTGTACAGTTGTAATGCTACTTTTATCATTAAAAATATCTTTTGAATTGCAAATTTACCGATGGGAGTTATTAAAGCAAGGTTCGTTCTCAAAAACTCACTCTCAGTGATGCTGTTGATCATCGTTACTGATCCCACATCCCACTGTACTTGTGATAAGTTACTTTAGCTGCAGGACTGTTTTGTCCTTCAACTCAAGGACATGAGGCTCCTCAAAGAGACGAACAGCCTTTGTAACGGATCTGCCACTGAACGTGAAGTGACCAGAGAGCCGCCTGTAAGATATATTACACATGGATATATTCCTTCTTTCAGCCTCATTTATCACACGGCTCTCTGGAAAACTTGACTCTGATTGGTGGAATCATAACAGATTGTCGTCTCAGTGAAGTAATGTCCTACATAGCTGCTTGTTTCATGTCTCTCGTACTCTTTCTTAAATAATTGACACTCAAATTAACTGGCATATCTGTTTATTTATTGATTTGGTAAGTCATCGTGCAATAAGTACCATAATGTACCATGACCCAAAAGTGAAAATGAAGTTTACTTTGTGTACCTGGACTTCAATGTGGACTCAAATCTCTTTCTTTCCATTTATTTTTATGCATGCAGCATATACAGATATGTGTATTGCATTAATTTGCAGCCTTTCTGCAGTTGAATTATCATGATTGTGGCAATCCAATCAGTTTGAATACAAAACGTGCTTTTGTTTTTAAGGTATCTTGAGTGTAATGAACCATTTTGTCTTTTGTCATTGCTTTGGCTTTCTTTTGGACTAAACAAGCGGAACACAGTCTGTACAAATCGCTTCTTTTTTTTTCTTTTTTTGCTCTAGTTTATATATTAATCTGTTTTCAACTGTTCAACCTGTTTCTTTCTACCAGAAAACTCTGAGAAGAACAAGCCGCAGGCGAACAAAATGGACACTGTGCAGAAGATTGATGACTTTAATGTTTTCAGCAAGACGGACAAAGATCAGAAGATGGAAACGGTGGAGGAGAAAGACAAAACTAACCACACAGACGAACAGACAACCAAAGGAGAAAACACTGAAGCTCTGGACAAAAACAAAGACGTGGACAAGGTGGGTAAATCAGAGAAAACAGACAAGGGTGAAATCGTTCACAAAGTAGAAACGCCAGTGAAAGTTGAGAAGATTGAACAAAAAACTACTAAAGGTGAGACTGAGAAAGCTGATAAGCTTGAGGCAGAAAAGATTGATTCCTCCCCAAAGATGGAGAAGGTGGAGCTGAAGACGGAAGAAGTGAAAGTCGAGGAGAACAAGTCAGATCAGAAAGCGCAGAAAGATAAAGAACAGGTGAAGGAAGTGGAAAAGGAGAAAGCAGAACAAGACAAGACAGAAAAGGACAAAGTAAAACAGAAAACAGAGCCGGCTGACAAGAAACCTGGCAAAGCTGAGAAGGACGAGAAAGCCAAAAAACCAGCTGCTAAACCCTCCGCGGCCAAGCCTGCGGTAACCAACGCTGCACCTGGAAAAGACTTGACTAGTCCTGAGAAGAAGACCAAGGTTTGTGAAAGCTTTCTGTTGTCTCTTCGTCCTCCATTGACCTTCCTGCTTTTGCTTCTGCTAATGCTAATGAGTTTGATTCTGTTCTTAAAGCATATTAATGCCAAAACCAAAATTCATTCATCACTTATGGAGGGTTGGGAATCGAGAACCTAAAACAAAGTAGCGTTATTTTGGTATTATTTATGTACTATTATAGTTTTTATAGCTATTTTGTATTAGGTTTTTTTTATGTTTTCAATTTTTATTTTAGTTTTTTTTTTTTTTTTTTTTTTATTTTTTTTTTAAAAATTTGAATAAATATTTTTTTATTAATATAATGTATTATTATGTATTGTATTATTATTTTTAGTTTTTTTATATTTTTAGTTTTTATATTTTAATAAAAAATATAAAATTATAATTAAATTAAATTAAAATTAGTTTAAAATAATTGTAATTGCCATATTTATTTTCTACATCCTTCCTATGATTAACGTTAATGAACTGTAATCGTGAAATTACTTACGCTTCCCATCCCTACATGACCATCAAATGAAACGGAGTAAACTTCAAGTTTACTCTAGATATAAAGACAGAAAATTGTAGTCTGAGCTGGATCTGATCTTGTGCTTTTATCAGCTTGCTCTGCTCATGTCGTAGCCGTTATCATTTGTCCTTATTCTATTTTTTTGTTCATCGTTTGCCATCCATCCGTTGGGTTTGCTGTCCATCCATGCAGCCTGTTGCCGGCGCAACCAAACCTAGCTCTGCCAAGCCCCAGCCGAGCTCCGCCTCCAGCACTACAGCCGCGCACAAGCGTCCCACCCCGACCTCAGCCCCCCTCAGCAAAAAAGCCCCTGTGCCCAAAGCGCCCGCCCCGACCGCTGGCGCCAAACGGCCCGCCACGGCGTCCACACGACCCTCCACCGGAACGAGCAGCGTGGCCAGAGAGGTCAAGCCCAAGGTGAGTGTCCATCCATCTGCTGAAGACCACGTCTGAAGGTCGAAACGGCTCAATCCGGCTCTCATCTCTGCATGGATGTTCTGTGTGTGTGTGCCGTCCATGCTTGAGCACATCAACATGTTGTTTAAACTACAGTACAGTGCAAAAGATTGGGTTCGGTTATCAAAAGAAGTGAGCAAGGATGCATTTATTTGGTTAAAAATACATTGGTAAAATTGTGAAATATTATTACAGTTTAAAACAGCTGTTTTCTATGTGAATATCTGTTAAACTGTAATCGTGATGCATTTTATTTTTCAGGATTCACAGATTCAAAGAACAGCATTGATTTGAAATAGAAATCTTTTGTAACATTATAAATGTCTTTACTGGCACTTTTGATCAATTTAATGCGTCCTTACTGAATAAAAGTATTGATTTCTTAAAAAAAAAAAAAAGTTTGACAGTTTTGAATGTCAGTGTACATCTACAAAGAAGCTTAAAATATTAGAGCTCCGAAATTACTTATTATAATAGACGTTTTTCTAGAAGATAGAGCTAGAAATAGCAGTATCGATAAAATGTTTTATTCCAGTCATGAAGGGCAATGGAAAAAAACTAATATAGCCTAGTTTATTATGTCTCAGGATTATGTTTTCAAATCTCTTTAAATATGAACAATGTTCAGTTCAAGTCTTCCCTCTAGTGGCCATCGGTTAAACTACACTACTTCCTAACTATTGAAATTAAATGAAGGTTAATATGTGACCCTGGAGCACAAAAGCAGTCTTAAGTTGCTGGGGTATATTTGTAGCAATAGCCTTTTTTTGCACCCTCAGATTCCAGATTTTCAAATAGTTGTATCTCAGCCAAATATTATCCGATCCTAACAAACCATACATCAATGCAAAGCTTATTTATTCAGCTTTCAGATTATGTGTAAATCTCAATTTCAACTAGCTCAAAATACAGTTTCATTGTGCACATGTTGCCGCATTAATGTTAAGAAATATGATTGAATCCACAATACGAAAGGAGAGGTTTGTCTCAGTAAATAAATAAACATGAAGGATTGTATTGGTGTGACTGGATTCTTAGGAACTGACTTCATCTGAACCTTGCAGGCTATTTTTAGAGCAACAGTCAGATATTTTTGGATGAAACGTCTCTGTTCGATCCTGATGGGTTTTTTTTACTACAGAGACAGTATCACAGTGCAGCTGACCCCGACTGACCCTGTGTTTTCTCCTCCGACAGTCGGCCGTGCCAAAGACCTCTGTGGCTCCGGCTCGGCCCGCCGCAGACAAACCTGCGACCGCAGCACGCACAACCACCACGACACGCAGCACAGCCAGCGCTGCGGCAGCACGACGCCCCGGTTAGTTAGGAGACATTTAAAGATGAGCCATTGCATTTTGTGCTGATTTATGAAGTAGTATAAATAATCACATTATGCATTTCTGTTTTTGTGTTTAGTCGCAAAGACTGAGAGCAAACCAGGAGACGAAAAGAAACCAAGCACACCGAAAACCACAGGTACAGCAAACACCTAACCACCCATAACACTGTATTTATGAATACACTACAGGCTAAAAGTTTGGATTCATCACCACGGCTGCATTTATTTGATCAAAAATACAGGTAAAAATTGTAATGTTGTGAATTTGCAATTAATAACCGTTTTCTGCTTGTATTTTAACACTCTGGTGTTGACTGAGGGTATATACAGTATATTATTCATGCTTTTATTCAGTAAAATTACTTTTATTCAGTAATACATTTAGTAATGGCTGTTGAAAATTCAACTTTGCACCATAGGAATACATTACATTCAAAATACAAACAAAAATATTTTAAATTATAATAAAAAAAATAATTATAATATTTAATAATAATAATAATGTGTGTATGAATTTAATTAAAATATTTGTATAAAATCAATCAAAAAATAAATATTTTTATTCAGTTATAATGGCTTTTATTCAGTATGTTTTTGATGGCTGATGAAAATTCAACATTCCATCACAGGAATAAATTACATTAAAAAAAATAATTATAATAATGCGTGTATGAATATAATTAAAATATTATTTTATTAATAATAATAATATTTATTATTATTTATATAATTAAAATTACTTTTATTCAGTACGTTTATTGATGGCTGCTGAAAATTCAACTTTCCATCACAGGAATAAATTTTAATTTATTTGAATTTTAAAATATATTCAAATAGAACAATTATTTTAAATCATAATAACAATAATAATAAATAAAATAATAATTATAATAAGGTTTTATTGTAATAATACACTAATGTGTGTGTATAGATACAATTAAATTATTTTTATTTAATCAATTAAAAATAAAGATTTTTATTCTGTTAAAATTACTTTTATTCTATGTTTATTGATGGCTGCTGAAAATTCAACATTGCATCACTGGAATAAATTGCATTTTAAAATATATTCAAATAAAAAATGTTTATTTTAAATTATAATAATTTTTCACAATATTATTGTTTTTACTGTATTTTTGATCAAATAAGTGCAGCTTTGGTGAACACAAGACACTTCTAAACCTATAAAAATCGTACTTATTCCAAACTTTTGAATGGTAGTCTATGTTGAAAAATACAGAAATTCAGTGTAGTGGCTTAATAGCGACAGGGAAAAGATGCAGAGATGCTACGCTGACAAACACATTTAAATCCATGAAAAACCTCTTTCAAATCCAGAAGTGAGTTGCGCAGCAGGAATGAGTTTGGGATAATCCCGCACTCGGAGCGCCGCTGCACAGCACGCTGCTTCTTACCCCCATTCCCAGACTTCTGACACAAACGCAGCGGTGCAGAGAGATTATTTTAATCTGAAGCATAAAGAGGGTTTTGTGCTTCAAAACTGAGCATTCAGATATCCCTCAGAATCTCTATCTAGTGCTCACTTATTCAGACAGCATTTATAAAGGTTCTGGCATTGCAAGTTCTTTCTGTGAAAGTGTTTTAAAGTTCACCAAACCAGTGTTTCTCTCAGACATAATTAAGCTGTGTTTTCAGATGCCGCCCGCTCTAAACCTGCGCCTCTCAAAGCCTCCACCACTACAAGCAGCGCCAGCGCTCGCCCTCGCACCACCAAAACCCCCGTCTCCAGCAGCACTACAGCGGCTGCTGCGCCCGAGAAGAAGCCGGCGGTGCCCCGCGCGCCTCGACCCAGCTCCACACCGGCACCCGACATCAGAAACATCCGCTCAAAGATCGGCTCCACGGACAACATCAAATACCAGCCTGGAGGAGGAAAGGTAAACGCACACGTGTTCAGCTGTTAATGTGATGCAGTCCCCTAGATTTGCAGTGCTTTCATATTTAGTAGAATGTAGATTTTGCACACTTGGGGGTACCGTGCCATTTTATTTTTAGTGTTATTTATTTGCATACTATTGTACTATATGGTATTAATTATAGTATTTATGAATTTTTGTATATAATAAGAATTTCTATATTTTCAGTATTAAGTTTAAGTAATTTTATGTGCTTTTTTAATTTTCATTCGTTTTTTTTTTCATAGCTTCAATTTATTTTTATTTCAGTTTTACTTTTAGTAATTGTAGTCATTTTTAATGTAAGACAGTCAGAGATGTTTGAGCAGTTTTTGTCCTGCAGAATGTGCCGCTGTCATCTTTCTGAAACTGCTCTCAGTCTTTCTTGCGTGACTCTGTGTCCAAAACCTAAAAAAATATGACATTACAGCCAGCATCCAGAGGCATCAGAGCAAATCTATTATTATTATTATTATTATTATTATTAATTTTATTAATATTATTATTGTTGTTGTTACTA